ACACTAGCCAGCTTTCATGTGCACTTTGCTGCGTACGCACCACTACAGTCTAGGAAGTAGACGATCTCTACGATAATGTATACTTCTACTGAGCCTACAGACTATATTCTTCAAAAACATGGGTTCACTGAAAACGGCGCGCCACACAAGTTCCAAGGTTCTATCGGAGGGAGGTCCAACCTCCCTCCGATATATCCCGAACATCAGTCTGACATGTGCCAGACGCCGTTCAGCCCTACATGCACGTCTATCTTCCTTGCATGCCGCCGCGGGCGAAGAAGCTTACTTTGTTCTAGAACACCCAGTACATCAATCTGCACACACACATGCGTCACCTAAAATCAAGTTTCCTTATCTCCACCATGCACTCTTTACGGCAAAAATCACGACCATGAGGATACCACTGGGTTTCCGGCCGGTAAACTAAAGTCACTAGACCATGTCGATTGCGCTCACGATGTCGGAGCTGCATGTAACTAGGGCGGTGGATACAATGCGGGAATTATGTGTAGTTGAGAAGAGAAGCGATTGTGGGTCTGTATATACTTTAATGTACGTACATACATGTAGTATGTGCATGGCTATGATGAGGCTCTGCTCGCATTACCCACAGTTGCGGCAATGCAGGTCTAGCCGCAGATTTTCGTGACCGTGCATGCTCGGACCGAGATTAAGGTAGGGGAAGAGTTGAGTGGTGTCAACTGGCTGTGTAGGAGAGGCTGGTGGGTGGCTACCACCAGGGTTTCAGCGTGGCGGTCAACACAGTCGTGGCGGCGATGGCGTGGCTGTATCGACGATGCAGATGCGTTGAGATGGAGTCAGTGTGAGACGGAGGTAGGAACGATGGTTCACACGAATAACACCGCAACTCAAACCTTGATAGCCATACCCCCTTCATTGATTGAGCAACGACACGCAATACACATGCATGCACACCCTCCACCCAATCCCTCCACGTCAGGCGACCCTCGTTCGACCAGACAGCAGAAATGCCAGTCTCGACGATAGTATTCGTCGAAGATTGGAACCGGCGAGGTGCATTCGCACGTTTCGGAATTTGAGCTGCAGGTTGGCCGATGCTGCAAGATGGGCGGCAACCATGCCAGGTGTGGCGCAATCGCAGCTACTATCCATGTGCAATGCGTAAGAGGTAGAAAAGCGCACTAGAAGGCTGGGTACCATGTGGAGATACTTCGGGAGAGCCGCAAGCAAAACCCTGAAGAGCTTAGGCTTAGAGCAGGAGCTTGACGGCGATGTGACTCCAAGCGAGGGATGAGGAATAGTGGGTGTTGTCGGCGGGTTTGTTGGATAGGCTGTAAGACGGAGTTATTCATGATTGCATCGCAATGAATTACTCTGGACGCGCGTAATCAATGTCTCTGAAGGCTACTTGCACATGCGGATTAAGATCGCGCTGCTATCGCCATGGCCGCCGTTCGCGGTGTCTTCTTATCGGAAGACCTTCTTTGGGACGGCCCCTGCTGCCAGCCCCGGCCTGCCAATGCGACGCCTAATGATTGCGCCAGAAAATTCTAAGACGTGAGCGCAACCCAGGAGCCGCGCTAGACAGGCGACTACAATGATGCGAGCAGGCCTACTGGACTTGTCGCGTCTCCACTTGCAGCCCATGAGCTCATCAGGGTGCAGGCCGCCCTTGCCCGCTTTATCCCACGCGCAGCCAGCTAATGTGGTATATCTAACGCGGTACCTACACGCGGCCGCGGCCAGCTGAGTAGAGTCCTGCCCTTACTATACTTTGGTTGCATATCAGTGACGTGCGGCGCTTTCTGTGTCTACTTCCTCCCACGCTTCGATCAGCCTCTCTCAGCTTGCTGACTGCATCGCCGTCCACGTTCGCATATTATACCACCTACGCCTGCTAGAAGTAGAAGGATACACTGTCGCTGGTTACATTTCTACAATCGAAACCCCTCTAAACACCTTCTCGGTGGTGTTTGGTTCGACTCATAAAAAACGACCCTCGTTACATCATGCCTCGCCCAGGTGTCGGGGTCTTCGGCAGACATGCCGTGCCCACCCTGGAGATCAAGTACGCTTCTACCACCGCCAAACCTCAACATGGCGATATCTAACACATTCCCAGGCCGGAGTCGCCTTTTGTCGTTTTCTATGGAGAGTCGTCTGAGTCGCATGAGACGGAGCTGAGGGGCAAGTTGATTCTGAACAACCCAGAGTCCATGTCAGTGAGGAGCTTGCGAATCACACTCACGGGCACACGCAAAGTCTCGTATGGTAACGCCCCTGTCGACACTGGCTCAAGATTGCATGCTAATTGACCGTCCGCGCAGATGGCACTTGACCAACACCGTCAGCCCGCAGCCGATTACGCAAAAGACCAACTTCCTCGTCGAAGAACTCCACCTCTTTCCCGTCGACGTCGGCAGCAAGACCAAAGCGCACAAGCTCAACGCCGGATATCATGAGTGGGATTTCAAGTTCAAGATGCCGCCCAACCTCGACCAGAGCGTCGAGGGGCTTCCGACCAACTGGGTGGTTTATAGTCTCAAGGCCCACGTGGATAGAGGGTACATGAGCAAGCAGCTCAGTGCTACGGCGCACATCCGCGTCATTCGCACGCTCGGACGCGACATGCTCGAATCCATGCCCATGGAGCAGATCAACGAGGATATCTGGGCGAACAAGCTGGCCTATAAGATTACGGTCCCGCAGAAGAACTACATTGTCGGAACGTCGATAACAGCCGATTTCGTGCTGATTCCCCTGCGCAAGGGTGTGGAGATTTCGACAATCAAGATGGAGCTGATAGAGTCGCGGCAATTGTTCGCCGACTATGCTGGCCGCCGGATAAGTCACAACAACGACATGCAGGTTGCGGTCACAGAAGGCGACATGCCCGAAGACTCTGCGCGCAGGGTCCCCGACGGAACAGAAGACACAGACGCGCTATTCGACGAGTCGCATCGCTTCTCCATGACGCTCGATCTACCCAAGTCGCTCAAGAACTGCCGGCAATCCGTAGACACAGAGAACATACGGTTAACGCACAAACTGCGCTTATACGTCAACCTCAAGAACCCCGAAGGCCACACGAGCCAACTGCTAGTAAAAAACCACGTCCACCTCTTCATCTCGCCGAACCTGCCCCCCAACGAAGACCAAAGCGTAGTCGTAGACCAAAACATCCTAAACGCGCAAGCCATCCAAGACGAAGTCAACCAAAACGCGCCGCCGACATACGGGCTCCACCAGCTCGACTCGCTCTACAACGACATCGACCCCTCAGGCTTCATGACACCCGGCGGCGTCCACAGCATGATGAACAGCGGGGCCAACACGCCCTTCTACGCCCAATCGCGGCGCGGCTCAGCCGAAGACCTCACGTCGCTCGACGCAGCCGTCCACCAACCCGGCGGCGGCGCCTCCGCAGCTGCCCTCCAACACCGCCTCGCTAACCTCAGCATGCATCACTCCGACCGCCCCACCCGCTTCCAACCCACCCGCCAACACTCCTCCGGCGAAAGCACGCCCGCCCACGGCACCACCACCACCGAACAAGCGTACTTCGACCTCCCGCCCTCAAACTACGACATGGACGCCCTCGCCCGCACGCCCAGCTACAACACCGCCGTGCGCACGCCCGCTGGTTCGCGGACTCCTGGCGGCATGGATATGGATTTGCCGAGCTATGAGATTGCGATGAGTAGGCCTAGTTCGCCGAGCAGGAGTCGCGGTAGTAGGGGGACGACGCCGAGTCCCACGCGCAGTCTGGATACGTTGAATGAGGAGACGTATCGGAATACGCAGATGAATAGTCGGAGGCAGAGTCCTAGGACGGCGAGTCCGAGTAGTGAGGGGAGGTAGCGGGATTGTTTACTAAGGTGGATGGTTGGTTGGAGGGGGGTTTGTTGGGTTTGGTACGCTGGGTTTTTGACTTCATTTCGTTCCCTGCTCTCGTCACAGTTATGATTACGTTCACGAGCGCATGTTAGACCCAGAGACGCATATTTCCTTCACTTCAGCATTTGTATAGATATAGATTTAGATTTTCGGTTTTGTTTAGGCTTCACCACTCTCGATTGGGTTGGACTGGGTTGGATACAGAGGTAGTAGAGGAGGGAGGATACCCCATGCGCATCTTTTTTTTACTATGCATAGTAATTACATATCATTACACTCTATCCATGACTATCTCAGATGCTGCATGTGCACCTTACAGCTTCCATCTTCCATCTACTATCCATCTACCATCCATCTACCATCCATCTACCATCCATCTACCATCCATCTACCATCCATCTACCATCCATCTACCATCCATCTACCATCCATCTACCATCTTCCATCCCCCATCTTCAACATCGATATGACGTAGCAAATCACCTTGGCATCGCGTGCATGACTCGCGCGCTGTCCCTACCATGGCACTTGTTACTTCCACACTCCCCCACGACTGACTCGACGTAGGCTCAACGTAGGCCTCGTCGTCTAGTCGATCCTGGGGCAAGACGTGGGCGATCGTATAGATAACACAACAGTCACGCGTAGCCGCACAAGGAGAGTTTTCCCACCTCTCACACACGCCAAGCTGTCGTCGGATCGTTGACATCGGGTAATCACCGGGATGCTCGGGCAGATGACCGAGATGTAGATTGTCGATCCATGGATTGGCGAGCTAGTATGAGTTTGGTAGTGTATCCGCTGTGTTGGCTGCATGTGTACTTCCGAAGTTAAACCATGAGTATCTAAGACGTGTATGCCAGTCTCGATGAGTAAATTGTTGCTTGCGCACACTTGGCATGTAGTAACTCAAAGTACATGCTTGTGCAAAATAAACAATACAGTACAACTCCATCACCAAAAGTCATCTCGAGGTAGCCAAGCCAGTGCACCGTATGCAGCTTTATTACCCATTACACCACCTCCATATCCTCCTCCTCATCTTCATCTACATCTACCCATCCTATACCCACACCCACACAGTATCTACCCAGTCCTATATCTATCCCCTCACACCCACCCTACGAAGGATAATGCTCAAACAAAAACCCCGCCGCCATCTCCGTATCCCCCTCCGTCGCATTCAGCGCCGCCAACGCCTCCTGCCTGCTAAACCCCAACACAACCAACTTCTGTACCTCTTCGTCGGGCCAAGCCGCCCGCGCAGCAGGCAGATTACTAACCATGTTGCGAATCTGGTCGGCCGTGATGTTTTGAAGTCCACTTCCACTTGCACTACCACTTCCACTTCCACTTCCACCACCTACCCCACCCATCGCCGCTCCACCAAAGTCATAAATAGGCGTTTTATCCAAGTCGACATCCGTTCGTAGAGAAAGTCCTAGCGCTTTAACCCACCCCGCCTGCACAGTCTCGTTGCCGAGTTCGAGACCAGACACATATTCGATATCATCATCACAATCCCCCGCATTGAAGTACTCCCAGCCCATCATCCCCCCAAACCCCTTCCCCACCTTATAATAACTCTGCCGCAACTGCTGTGCAACCACCGCCAGCCGTCCCACATCAACATACCCACCCCCATTCGCCTCATTCGTTACAACGCCCATGACAATCTTTTCTGGTTTCCAGCCCGCGGCGATGATGGTGTCGTACCACGCCGTTGTAAACGCGTCGCCCCATCCGCAGTAGAATTGCGTGTTGTACCACGCTATTTCTTTCCCCCAGACGCTGCATTCGAGCTCCGGGTAGCTGAAGCCGGAGAGATGGCGCAGCGTGGGGTGTAAAGGGTTAGGGGTGGGGCCGCTGGCGAGCATGGGCCGGGGTGGGCGGAGGTGTGCGGGGATTTTGGGGTCGGGGATTAGGGCTGTGGCTACGGGGGCGAGGGTAATCAGGAATTCGGGGCCGAAGTCGGCTCGAAGGCGCGAGATGAGGCGGGTGGTGGTGGAGAGGGGGATGGCTTCTTCGATGTCGAGGTCCAGGCCGGAGAGGGAGCGGGCGGTTATTAGGGCGGCGAGGGGGGTGTAGTGTGCTTCGAACTGGGGGGATTTATTAGCTTTATGCTTCTTAGGGATGATGGGATGGGGGTGGTGACATACACTCTCTTCGTCTCCGCTCAACTTCTCGTAACTCCCCTTCGCTGCTCCACCCAGCATACCCAACACCTTGACCCCACTCCCTTGTAACCAATTCACCTCTCCCCATAACTGATCAAACCTCTTATCATCCGGCTTGTGATCATTCAGCGTAATATTCCCCGGCCCATCATTAAGGTGGATAGCCGCAACAATCACATGCGTGATGCCCGTGTTGTTCGTCAGCAGCGGAAGCAACGAGTGGTAAGTGCCGTTTGAGTCGTGGAAAGTCTGGTGGTAGACGATGAGGCGTGGGCCGGTGGATGGCGGAAGGAGTTTCGCATTGGGAGTCATTGCTGAGTCAGTGGAGGAAGCGTGGTGAGCAGACCTCCCGTGGAGACCTGGTACGTGGACGCGTTCCTGCAGGTCCGTAGGGCTGAGGTGGGGCAGGCGCGCTACGTCATTCAGAGGTGCCAGGGGCATCATCGCCGCTAGGGGCAGCATCGCGAGCCAGCACAGGAAATTCATAATGTTGATGTAGTTTGTATGTAGTATTAGGGAACGACGCACAAGTGCACAGTTTTATATTCCATCTCTCCTGGCATCAGCAGGACATGGCTGTGGTGTACTTTGGTTGTCACGATGCGATTTTACTGAGATCCATGGTTGCGATACACTGAAGCACCGTCAACCACAGTTCCACTTCGTGGAAAGATGACAGCCTGCATACTCAGCTATTGAGGTCAGAACGCGGTGGTATAGACACAGTAGTAGTAGTACACTGAAACCGGCCTTGGAAGGCTCACATTTAACCCGTGATGTCGGTGTAGTTATATGTTGTATTGCATGCATGTACTCAGTAGCATACCCTGACCAGAACGCCATTTGCTGTCCGATAAAGACACAGCCCCAATCCTTGTAACCAGAACAAAGCAGGAAAGCTCCCAGACACTAACGTCTCGTATTGCTCACCAATCCTGCAGACCACTCAAAGCGTAACAGTCGTAGCATCCTCCTGGGACAGGCTAGTGGTAGCCGTTGCTGTATTCGTGTCGTGTGTCACCGTTCATTCCGCCAAAGTACGGGTGGATGACCGTCTGCTTTGCTGAGATGCGGCCAGCGGGGTCGTAGACAAGCAGCGCATCGAGGAGGTCAAGGCCAACTTCGTCGAGGTTGGTGACTATGTTTGCGACGTCTGTCCGGCCCCACTTTGGGAACGAGGGCTTGAAGTCGGGGAAGGAGGTGACGCCCGGCCAGTCTTGCTCGTTGGGTGTGCCGAGGATACTAGACATGATTAGTATATGGAGATAGTATAGAGGTGTGAGTGCATACCGGAAGATCTTGAAGATTTCGTCAATCTCCGAATCACCGGGGAACAGAGGCTTGCGCGTGCACATCTCGGCGAAGATGCAGCCAACAGACCACATGTCGACACCAGTTGAGTATTGGCGACCACCAAGCAGAATCTCCGGAGCACGGTACCATAGCGTGACGACCTATTATGTGTCAGACGACCCAAATCACATATGCAGTATCCATACCTCATGGGTGTATGTCCGCAGCGGAACACCAAACGCACGCGCCAGACCGAAATCCGCCAACTTGAGATTACAGTCCTTGTCAATGAGCAAGTTCTGCGGCTTCAAATCACGATGCAGCACGCGATGAGCATGGCAATACCGCACACCCTGACACAGCTGCATCATAAACTTCTTGACCATCTTATCGTCCATGCTCAGGCTCTGTCCCGCCAGCCCAGACCCCTCTGGCAGCGCCTTGCCCCGTCCACCCTGGCTAACCGGCAGCGCCTCCATGTACTTCTTCAGATCCAGATCCAAGAACTCGAAGACGAGGTAGAGCTTGTGGCCGTCGGCGTGTACGATGTTGAGGAGGCGCACAATGTTGGGGTCGTTCATCTCTTTGAGGAGTGAGATCTCGCGGATGGCCGTCGACGGGACGCCCTCATCTTCGGCTTCGAGGCGGATCTTCTTGAGGGCGACGATGCGCTGGTCTTTGGTGGTGAGGTCGCGCGCTTTGTAGACGACTCCGTAGGTTCCTGAGATTATGTCAGTAGGCGCGTGGGAAGCCTTTAGGGTATAGCGTACCCTCTCCAACCTTCTCCAACTTCTGGTAGTTCTCCATGGTGGCGGGCTGGGGACTGCGATTGCTTCAGACGACAAGCGGTCAAGCGTGTTTAGGTGGATCGCGGGAGATGCTGTTTCGCCGCGAGTCTGTATTATTCCCGGTTTGAGGTGAGGCGAGGGTATTGAATGCCTCTCGTGTATACCTGTGGTTAGTACGTGCGGGCAGAGAGGAAGGTGCAGCGGGGAGCAGGGGCAGAGGGTGTCTGGTGTTAGGAAATTCGAGATGTAAACACCCTTGACGCATCGGGCAACGCGCACCCGTCAGCCACAAACGCGAGCTTAGTCAACAATACCTCCCACGTTTCTACAGACCCATCATCATCGCCAACTACCCGTGGACCCCACTACCATATATCTACACATACATCCTCACTTTCCCAAAATTTCTGCTGTCAAGACCACACGCAAAATGCACCACCTAGACCCCCATGAACGCCCTCCAGACAGCATACGCAACGTCTACAAAAAGTACCAAAAAATGAAAGCAAAAGACATAGACCTAGATCGCGACATCATCGATCTCCCGAGTGACGCCGCCGCGTCATCAAACCCCAAAGTGCGCGTAGTAAAAGAATACACCGCAGAAGACTTGACCGCCATTTTCCGTTCTTTCGCCGGTGAAGACGGGGGAAAACTGCAACAAGCCACAGATCTGCCAAGATCCATACCAGTGTATGAACACGAGGATATGCCAGGTAGGACGTCTCCCGTGTTTTGAATAAAATGAATTATTCCTGTCTTGCTCATTTCCCAATTTCTCATTTTCATACCTTCCTTCGCACCTTCCTTCATACCTTCCTTCATACCTTCCTTCATACCTCCATTCCTAACACCTCCCCCAGGCCTCCACATAACCCCCTCCCTCCTCCCCCTCCCCACCCAATCCCTCCTCCTATCAACCCTCCTCCACACCTCCCTCTCCTCCCCCACACACCTAACAAACATACACACCCACTACACCCTCTCCTACCCCTCCTCCAACGCCTCATTCTTCTCCCTCCCCCCGCACTCCCCCGCCCCCATCGCTACCCCCCTCTCCCCCACCATCCACAAACCACTCACAATCTCCCAACTCCTCAACAAAAAATTGCGTTGGACAACCCTAGGCGGCCAATACGACTGGACCGCAAAAAGATATCCAGATACACCGCCTCCACCCTTCCCTCCCAGCATCAAAGGCCTATTAGAAGCGCTGTTCCCGCAGACGAAAGCAGAAGCCGCGATCGTAAATCTGTATAGTCCGGGCGATACACTGAGTGTACATCGCGACGTCGCTGAAACGAGTAGTACGGGACTTGTTAGCGTGAGTTTGGGGTGTGATGCGATTTTCGTGTTGGGGACGTCAAGCACATCAAGCACAGCAAGTACAGTAAAGACGGGGGAGGAAGGAGGCGGAGAAAAGACAGAGGAGAAGATCATAACACTCAGACTGAGATCAGGAAGCGCGGTGTATATGAGTGGGGAGTCTAGGTTTGCATGGCATGGGGTTCCGGCGATAGTGGCGGGGACGTGTCCTGAGTATCTTCAAGACTGGCCCGCGTCAGCATCAGCAGAAGGGGAAGAAGACAATAGCGACAATGGGGGAGGAGAGTATGAAGCGTGGAGGGGGTGGATGGCGAATAAACGGGTTAATCTAAATGTGAGGCAGATGTTCGATTGATCACTCTACTCCACATCACATCACATCACAACAAAGTAGACGGAGATTACAAAAGCATTATCATGTATTAGTACTATTCAAAGCAAAAAGGGGGTATGTATATATATCCATCCAAGCATCATCGCTTCGCAGCCTCTCCATCAACGCACACCTACCACAGCGTCACCTTCGTCCCAACATCCTCATCCTCATCAGACGTACACGTAGCGATCATGAGACTTTTCCACTAGTATTTCCCGGGCTCGCCAGGGACAGCACTCCCCGGTGCCGTCGTCGCACTACCCGGCACCGCAGAAGCAGGCGCACTAGTACCACCCGTGACAGCATGGTCAGTCGAGTTCGTACCCGCGCCCTCCAGACCCGTGGTTTGGATAGGAGCAGGCTGCGCCTTCTCCTCGGGATACATGTTCTGCGGACTGGTATCGCCAGAAACAGGGCTGGTGGGAACGTCGTTTGTGACCTTACCCGCTGCGCCGCTAATGACCTGCCACCACTGCTCCGCAGCCTGCGGTGTGTGTGCCTTGAACGCGAATTCGTGTGTCATGGAGAACGCACCGCCGATCTTTCCCTTTGACACATCCTTGCCCTTGACATTAAACTTCTGTCCATTGACCGCACCAATCATACAATCCGGAATATAGAGCGACAGTTCAGGGACTGGGTCCTTAGCAAAGTCGTCGTCTGTCTTGAACTCGTGGAGGAACTTGGAGGGCGTTACGACGTAGTAGTTTGTGTCGTAGGAGCGCATGATCTTGCCCTTCTTTTCGAGCGAGCCCGAGATGAGGGGCTGGGTTGCGCGGTGGTTTTGGTTGGGGAAGCTGATGTCGGAGAGGGTGCGGGCGGGAGCGGCGGGGTCGATCAGGACGGTGTTGTTGCGCTGGATGAAGCCGTTCCATTCGAAGTCTTGGGGGATGCGCTGCGATGTGCCGACCATGTCGCCGTATGCGGCTTTGGTGTGCTCGGCTTGCGTGTTGACGACTTGCAGGAACTGGCCCATGCCGGACTGGATCGTCTGGATGATGTGGGCTTCGAACTGCGCGAAAGAGTTCTGCACGCTGATCAAGTCCTGGCGGTTGTTGTTCTCCTCTTGGACTTGCTTGTGGAGGCGGTGGTTGACGCCGCGCTGGAGGATGTAGGGGTCGTCGGTGGCCTTCATGTTGCCGCTGTGCGAGTCGAAGACTGCCGTGTGCTGGCCGAGGAGCTCAATCTGCTTCTGGGTGTGCAGGCGAGCCTTGTCGACAGCCTTACTGCCCTTGCCAGCTCCCTTAGTGAGCTCCTTGCTCTTGTTCTTGATCTCGGTGTGGAGGCGGTCGAAGATGGGCAGGACGGCGCCCTTGAGCTGCTTTGCGGTCTCGTAGTGTTGGTTGGAGATGCCCTGCCATGGTTAGTCTCAGACTCGGCATCTGATGTGGGAGAAGTCGTACCTGGGTGTTTGATCTGATGTTCTCGAACATGCCCGCAATACCACCGAGCGACTGATCGAAGTGGTGGCCCTCCTTCAGGGGATCCTTGACCGTCTGTTCAACGTCAGTAGCTGTATCGCTATCGCATTGAGTCGACCAACCTTCAAGACGCGCTCATACTCCTTGCCGTGCGCGTGGTTCGTCTTCTCCGTGGCTGTGACATAATCCTCGAGGTAGGCGACGGCGTGCTTCCAAGCTTGCAATCGCTCCGCAAAGAGCTTCGTGACCTGGAACACGTTAGGAGCTTTCCCTCTCGTCGATCTCAGGACTACTCACCTCTGAAGTGTCCTCGCCTGGGATGGCATCGTCGTCGGCAGATCGGTTGGTGAGGCTGCGCGTGGGCATCTCACTCGTGGCAGAGGTGGGCGCAGACATATTGCAGGTGTGCCGTGATACTAAAGAAACAAGGTGCAGTCGTGGAACGTGTCTTTGCACGTGTAGGAGGTAACGTTGTTGTTGCTGTGAAGCTCGAAGACGCGGCTAGCGAGATTTGGTTGGTGAAGGCGGGGTTCGCGTTCTTCCGGAAATGAGCCCGTGTCGTATGCTGCACGAGGGACTTTTATAATAATAAAGATATCTGGTTCAGTAGGAATATTTTCCAGGGTAAAATCAGGGTCCAGGGAGGGGTTTAAGTTTGATTCAAGCTCCGTGGGCGCATCTGGATCGACACTCACACATGCCGGAGAAGCAGGGTGCCATGAGGGTTTTGGCTGGCCCTGTGACGTCAACGCTCGCAGCTTTAGTCTAGATCCACGCGGGATCTACGCCAGGAAATGGGTTTGCACTGCTGCTGCGCCACGATCCTAGGGGTGATCGCGGGACACACCCTGACCACATGGTTACATTCAGAGTCGTTGACGTATCGTGGCTTCATGCCATTGCGCCCGAGTGTGAGAGGGTTGTCAGGGTCTCCGCCCAACACATAGTACCCCCACATTAGCACCGAGAAGCCTCATCAACCCACTACTGACTAGCCTGACAGCTGAGTTCGAAGGCTTTGGACTTTCCAAGGTTATCAACAACCCCTGTCCGCCTGCTGCTCGGTACATGCGAAAAATATTTGTCATGCAGTCGGAGTACGGGACGTTGGGCAAAGTAGTTCGAGATGGGCATGGCGAGCAAAATCACAATGTAACGGAAACACGTCACATTTGAACTTTACAAAGCTTGCAACTACGTATACAGCCAACTCTACATCTCACATCGTCAGCGCCCCCTTATGCTACACACTAAGAGGTCACTGTAACTCCCGATCAATATTCCATAGCATCTTCAAACAGGCCCCGCAACTGCTCCCTCTCAGCATCAATGTTCTGCATCTCCAAGCTCGGCGCGAGCATCAGCACTCTTGCTTGAGGAATCGTGCCCTCAACAAGTTGATCGAGATGTTCCTTCCCGAACCCCAGCGCCTTCAAACCACGTGGCTGGTCACCAAGCTTAATCAAGAACTCCGCTAGTGCTTCACCTAGCACTTCTCCTGCACTCTCTGCCTTGACATTCGAAATATCGACACCGAAGGCCTCTGCCGCAGCCAGATGCCGCTCTGGATTCGATGCGCCGGTGAACCTAAACACTGCGGGCGCAGTTACCGCAACACTGACACCGTGAGGAATAATGGTGTGGTCGACATCGTAACCTGCGTGTTTGTAGCCAGGGTTCTGGCCTGAAATGGGATATGACATGCCGTGGCAGAGATGCACACCAGCGTTGCCAAAGCCCACACCAGCGAGTGTTGCAGCCAGCAACATCTGAGACTGTGCCTCGTGGTCATCGGGGTCTTTGACAGCACGCGGCAGGTACTTGACCGTATCTTTCAAGGCCTTGAGGGAGAAGATGTCCGAGATGGGGTTTGCACCTTGATACGCTGGGCGGTTGATGGGGTTGGTTGGACGAGGCGTACGCTCATAGTACGGTATCGCCGTCCATGACTCGAGGGAATGGCACAGTACGTCGAGACCTGAAGAGGCGTGGACTGCCGATGGCATGGTACGTGTGTTGAGCGGGTCCACTATACCCAGAGTGGGCTTCAAGTTGCGATGAGCGATACCGGTCTTTGCGCGCTTAGAGACCAAATCAAAGATTGCTGTTCCTGTTGTCTCAGATCCTGTTCCTGCTGTTGTTGGTACGGCGATGAGTGGGAACAACTTCGATGGAATAGGCATTCCCTTGCCCAGTGGGGCGTTGACGAAGTCCAGGAATTCTGCGTCTGGGAAGGTGGTGTATAGGTTCATCAGCTTGGCTGTGTCGATGACACTGCCACCACCAACTGCTAGATACGCGTCTGGTTTCCATGGCTTCGCGAAGTTGATTGCTTCCATTATGCTGTGGTCCTTTGGCTCCACTCTGACCTTGTCGTATATCTCGTACTTTACGCCTTCCCTTTCCAAGCCTTCGATGACTTGCTTCATTGCATCTAGTTTCCTCACGTTGGGGTCTGTGACGACCATGACGCGCTTGCTGCCCATGTTCTTGAAGTCCATGCCAACTTCCTTTGTACATCCAGGCCCGAATCTTATGCTCGACGCTGCCATCTCGAAGGCATATTCCTTTTGCTGAGAGTGGTCGAGAGGCGTTGCGAGATGTCGTCGTGCTTGCTGAACGGTGGACGGCGATTGGTGGTAGTTGGGATTCGAATGGCAGGGGCATGACGGAGGATGCGTATATTGTACAGTGCGCAAGAGGTTCATCGCGCGAGCCGCGCGCGAAGGCGCTATGCGAATTGCCGTCGAGATAACCATTGTGCGACGCGGTCGTTGTGTTGCTGATCGGACGTGTGGAGAAACGCGGGGATGCGCGTCAGTTTGGACTGGGCGGGGAAACTACAGTCTCAATCGATGTGAATCTTCTGTTGCTAGAATCGACCCAACAAGTATTTAACCATCAACGATTTCTCTTAAAGAAAAGAAGAAGTAGAGACTAGCATGCCGTTCCGTGATGCCAGACCTCCTGCATCGCAGCTCGACCTCGGATGACAGCTGAATTTAGCCGCATTCGGTATTCCGAGATGTGGGGTAACCAAATGCCGTCAGCGCAGGTTGGAGAAGGTTGGAGACGGAGCTCACGATTTCACGTTTGGCCTCAGGTCTTGCGCGTGTACGGCGCCGACTCCAACTCGCGTATACGTAGGTTTGGTAGGGACTAGGAACCTCGCCTCGTTGGTTGATGCAGAAAGCTCGATACCGACCTCCTTCTTCGAAAGTCAACCTCGCAGGACTACCACCAACACAACTCGATACGTTACCATCAACCACATATGCAGGAATGTTCGCACAAACATACAGCAATGCTGAATGGTTGGAAACACATTGCGATGATCGGCGAGGCCACCAACTTTCACACGTCTTCCTCTGCCGTGAAGAGCCACAAACGCCTCAAGGCGTCCACTGTGTCAACGAGACAGCGCCAAAACCGCGCGCTTTCGCAGTGTGTTGGATCATACATTTTCGCTCCGAGGCGGATCGCACAGTCTTTATCCAACCATCGTTTATCAAGCCAACGGGCCGGAAGCGCCATCTCTTCACCTGCTCGCTTAGCGATCCCAATACGGGACAACAATCTCATTTAGTTATCGTGACAAGACACATTGAGGCTCCACCAAGAAGACACAGTAAGTAGCAAGGATTTTTCGGCAGGGATCTCGGGACCGCGGCATAAAGTCGACTTGTCTACCTGGGCATGCAAGATTGCGGCATAGCTCCCACGACAAGCGTTCATATCCAACGGGACTTCCTTCACCTTCGCGATCACCACATGGCGCAGCCGTAATGGCCATGTTCATGCATCTGGTTTGCCATAACAGCCTGCCAACAATACCGAAGTCCATGGCTCCCTTCAATCCTCCAAGTTCAAGGTTGCGCCAGTAGGTTGAGCGGGCCGCTTGGTTGGCGTGTGACGGCTGGTAGTGCCCCTCCTTCACAGTACATAGGCGCCTTTCTAGCCGCCATGGGCTTATCACAACCCACCAATCTACGTTGCTGTTTGACATCGCGCGTCACACAGCGAAGTCCCGACCCAGGTTGTCACGGTCCCTATAGTCTAAGATCTCGTCGATGACTGGTTCCTCCGCGGCTGCGCAGCATGGGCCTTCCTGCACGTGGGCCAACTCGGTTGGCCGCTAAAGTTGTCGCACATCGCAGCTTGAAATCAGCCTCAGGGAGATCATAGTAAAACAGTCGCGCGGCTTATATCTACACCTACCGTTCTAGGAGCTTAGAGGATGTCAAAGCACCTAAGCGAGTCTTGCAAAGGGATGGCCTACGATGCGATGGCAGCCCACGAGGGTGAGGCACAGTTGCTGTAGCTGCCCTTCAACCACTTATACACAGGAACCTCAGCCTCGGTGGGCTGACGGGACTAGAGCGGCACGCTTCCTGCCGACGATTGGGTCATAGACGCTGGAACTGGGTACAGGGCTCGGTGTCTGCCCAAGGTCGGCCTGCTTATGGGCCTGTCCGACGGTATTGGTCGTTTGCCGCGCGGGGCGCTTCCACCGACCGTTCACGCCCATGTCACGCGTCCCGAACGCAATGCGATGCCTGTGATACAGCACAACGAGCGAGTCTAATTGGTTCGTATAGCGTTTTTGGCCCCAATGCCGCCCAATGATCATCGTTCCCCGAAGCGATGAAACGAAACGGGTGGAAGACCCCGTAGCTTACTTTGTTGTCAACCGTGCCGTATGTATTGACAGCACCGCCTGATAGCCATGCCAGACCCCGCAGGCCCCCTTACCGACAGTATGGGGAGCGCACTTATTAGCCGATGACCAAGACCTGATAATCAGAAAATGATATGACAGCCTGTGTCTCCTCGTCAACCTGGTCTTCAGCCTTCGTCGCAAAGCTCGAACCCCACCATGTCCCTACAGCTTCGCATAAGCAGCTCCCAGGAAAAGCGCCCTGCTTACAGAGGCAACTCGCGTCGCTTACTTCGCTTGAGCGACATTCCGGAATCACCTGCGACAATTGGAGCGACATGCGAAGCAGTTGAATCAGACGGCCGTGCATGCCGTAATGCGCTTCCCTCTGGAACGAGCGACCCGTGGTGCGACAGACACCTCGAAGAATGGCAGGACCTGAACGCAAAATGGAGCAAGACGCAGAAAGAAGCGGAAAGGATTATTGTGCTCAGTCTTGACGTTGCGAAACAAAAGGTTATGAAGTTGCGCCAATCCGTGGAGCTTAGGCGCCAGATTCGGGATCGGTTCTACCCTGGTGGCGGGGATATCACAGACTACATCAAATGGCTTGCAAAGCTAGAAGCCGATGTTCGAGGGCTTGCAGACTCGTTGCTAAGTATGTTTTATGAAATAAGATTTTGACCTGGCCTAATGTCAAGTACAGTGCAAAACTTGCAGCGCGGCCCGACCCCAGAAACCCCGGGAGTACATACTGGCACCCCTCACCCCGATAGGGTCAGTTTAGGAGAAACGATCACCATTCTTCGGTCACCGTTAGATCCCCGGATACCGATCGACTCTCTCCAAGGGATGCCTGATGATGGCACCATTCTCGTCCTCAAACATTTCTACCAGGATTTGTGCGAGGCCAGTGTTCGACGACTGTACAGTATAGTACCAGATCTGGATGACTCTCGCAAGCCTGCCAACTCGCCCGAACAGAAGAAGGATCTACCTCCTCCTGATAATGGCACGGACATCATTCGCGCGTGGTTTCGCATCATGGTACTAAACGATAGCGAGGCTTCCACTCTCGAGCACGCGACCAGATCTAAGAGTATTGACGACTTCTTGATGGGATGCTCAGCCAGTCAACTAGAGGAGTACTGTGACTACTTTGAGAAGGCATGGCGTCCGAATGCCGTGCAGTACCTTCGCGTAGCAATTTGCGCCCAGACTCTTGCTGGTGGAGACATCAAAACTATACAGCTGCTCGGCGGTACTATTCCAAGTACGACCGAAGGACTAAGAATGACCAAGCCATGCTGGGACATACTGTAAGTCAACACGCATCACGAAGAGGTGGTTGCTAACACTGCATAGCTATCGTTGGTTCCCTACACTGCTCACACCCTGGTCACTCGCCAGTATCTGTTCCAACTTCGAAGACTACACAACCATCTGCAAACTGTTAATGCTGAGGTTGTACAACGACCACTGGTACGACCCAGGTAGTATACTGAGCGAATGCTCAACCGGTGTCTATATGGGCTTCATACCAACTAGCAAGGGAGACTTCACCGCCAGTGCAGGTCTCCGACAAGAAGGTCAACTGTGGGTGCAACGACAGTCACGTAACTATCTGTGTGGCCAGATGGCTATCGGCGACCCTCTGACACAAGCATTCCTCGACGAACTTCGAAAGCGTACTTCGTCAATCTACTTGGTCGTTTACGAAGGCACACACGCGGACGCTACTGTACACCCAACTGAACCCGATCTATTCATCAGTCGTCATCGCTCAGCATTGACGCTTGACGAGCTGGAAAGCGTCGACTACAGTACTACATTGACACTGGAAGAGATCAAGAACAACCTTCGAATGAGAAAGACGACCATGTACGATCCGATAGTGGTCGACTCCTGGCAGTTCATCATCATCGATCGCGAAGTGGGACTGCCCTTCCGATTGATCGACATGGTGCAAGACACGCTCATGATGCTCATTGGCGACCCTTCACCCCGACAAATGGCAAAGCGCGTCATCCGCGAAATCATACCACCTTCCGTTCAGGAGATCTTCTTAGAAGAAATTGCCATCGACTGCACAGCAGAGTTGCGATACCCACCGCCAGGCGAAGTTCAACACGAAGGCAATAGGTGGCGATGCTACGATCCAGATGTTAAAGTGCTTGCCGCAAAGCAAAAGAGGATGACCCAACAACAAGTCTCACGGGACGACAATCGCTTCATCAGGCGCGTCATCGAGGACATGGAACGCTACGGCATCGTCACTCTCTGCTCAGAATTCGAAGAGCCACAGACCCGGCCGATCATCGTTCAAGCTTCTGACGGTGCACCCGATCTCTACTTCCCTTACGAAAGCGGTACCACAGTCTCCGAGAGCGGACGCTCCCTATCGCTCCCACTACCACCACCGACCTGCCTCCGAGACTTCGCAGAGAAATACAAGGCAAAACACCCGAACGCCATCATGGCAAAAGGCTCAATACAAACCCATTACTGTGCCTGGCCCATGCCCGCCATCAAGAGTCTCGGCAAAAGCGGCCTCAACTTTGCCACATGGGAAGGCCATGTCTATCGCTGGAACGCCATGCGTAAGTCTCTCCGTCTTCTATAAAACTATCATTCCCGACTAACATCTATCCAGCATTCGACCGCCCCTCCTCCGCAAACGCATGGCAGTACTACATCCAACACTTCCTCAATTCCAAATACCCTTTCGTCATGTTCTACCTCACCACTTTCGTAATCTGCGCCACGGACCAAGAAGACGGCGATCGCAAGGCCGCTACCATACTCGAAGAGATGGAAGATAGGGGTTGGCGTGTCACGCTGCCCAGGACGTATGAGTGGAGCAGCGATATTGAGACGCTGAAGTTGGAGAAGCTGTTCAATGGTGTTACGCCCGCGTAGAATTCTAGACGTAGATGGACATAGGTGTATGGATGCATTTAGGCAAGCGTGCGGGGCATGCAGGCATGGTTGGAAAGAGATTTGCGGGTTCTTCAGGGTATGACTTGATACGTAGGCATGAAATGGGTTTGGGCAGCATATTAGGGATATTGCTGGGCATAGCGGGTTGTCGTTTTGTTCGCATGCGTTATATAGTTTTGGAGCGTTTAGCTGTGCTTCATACCCCTTCTTTCAATGACATGGCGGTCTTTCTGCTTTATACACGAAAGATGGGGTTTTTCGCGATCCATTCTTGTGGTTGTCCACCATTGTTTCCTACATCAACCAAGCATTCATGACTCGTATGGTATTTGGGAGGTGTACTTGGCTCCCCGCCCTCTCGGACGTTGCGGTACCATGGGATGGAGGTGATGAGATAAAAACAAGGGTACAACACGACCCTGTGACTGGTAATTTCGGAACCCCAACTCGACTGTGCGGACAAACTTGGCTGCACTGTTCTTGGCATGGGTTTCGATATTTAAACTCTGATTATCTTCCACTTCTGCTACTGCACTCTTTCATCGAAACCTCGCGCTATCAACAGAGTCTAGGTCCAATAATGGAAGACCTTCATACACCCGACTCCACGGACGTGGGCATTCCGACACGGCGGTAAGTTGCCATCGTTTTTATCTAGGTTTTAATGGCTAACGAGCGAGAAGGTACTATATAAGTCCTCCGCTGAATGCTGGTTCTGATTACTCAGACGATGAAGCAGATGAACGTAGAGCAATTTACATTTGTCTCAGGGACGATAGAGATATATACGATGGGCTTCTAGAGGAAGCTATGGAGATCCAGGAGGAGGAACGTGCTGAAGCTGCTGCGCCTCCGTGTTGCTCATACCTCACTGAGTACGCAGAACGCTATCAACATGTATAAGACGACTGCTGACGTCGCGTAGCGCGACGACACGACTAGGAGCCTCTCTGATTGCTACTCATTCAGCCACTTACCACAGTCCAACAGGACGTGCAACAAGAGCAGAGATTAAGGGTTTCCATGCAGCTAAATGCAACCGGATAACATACGTCCATCGTCGTTCAATCCTCCAGCGCATGCATGATCGTCGCAGCGGCCTACCCAGGGAACTTCGCGACATGATATACGGCTACGTCTTCGAAAATTCATGCATCCAGCTTGATGCGAAGCATTTGGAGCACGCATGTCCCACTACTCATTTCCAAAACTCTTCCAGGCAACTGATAGACTTCAAATTCTTCGCTGCCGATACTGTTATCAAGAACGAGCTAGCTGAAGCATGGTACAAAGAGACGACCTTCTGGACCACAGATCCCAGCACGATCAGTTCTTGCCTCTCTCGGTTCAGATGGAGTGCTGTCTTACAGGCTAACCCATTCGGCCTGATCCGAAACGTCGAAATCTGGGTACCTGTTGATGTCAATCAAGAAAACGTCGAAGAGCCCTTCGATTTGGCAAAAGCTGATCCTCTGTTCCAGCTTCATGAGACTACAACCATTAGGTTCGCTCTAGGTGGTCCCGATCGCATGGACTTTGATTGGCCAGGCGTGCCTTACGGCACCGCGGTGGATTATGCGCGGGACATAGAGTACTTGTTCCCACTCTTCGCCAATCTAAGAGATGCGGGATACAAGGTCATAGTGGGACCAGACTGGAATAGGAGGGTCGTGTTTGAGCCGGATGCCACTCAGGAAACAATGATCGAGATGATTTGTGAGTCTCTTGATAAGCAGAAGTCTCTTGGGTATTGCTCGATGTGGTTACAGTATCGCACGCATGGCGTTTGAATAGTTGTGTGTACTGTATAGCTCATGAGAGTCAGCCCACAGGGTCGGGCAATTGTTGCGAAGAGCGCTTTCCCAAAGAGGTGGTCTAGATGTTTGCTCGGGTGGGTAGAGAAGTCTGGGCAGGTTCTGGGATTGCTTTTCGAGATTATTCATGTACGCAATGATTGTTCTTCTATACTATGCTAATATGTTATCTCTCATAGATGGCTGTGTTCTAAGGGCCTTGCAGCTTCAGGTACCTACGTACCTAAATATGTACTCTTATCCGCACACGCCACCGAAAAGCTTTGCTGGCATGAATGTAGTGAGGCTAATCGAACTTCGTCGCGCTCGGCCTATAAGTTTCACTCAAAGTATATGAATTTCGCAATCTAACGGCGCAGCTCGACGCCGTCTGCATTTAGAATGATGGACCTGTGTTGACATGGCTGCTTCCCGACAGAGATTCAAGTGTCGAGGTTCGCGCTAGCTCTGACAAAGGTTAGCGGGCAGGTTTTGCCGAGGCCTGATCGCGCTGGGGTTTCACTCTCGAAACGCGTCACGTCTTCACTTACGTGCATCCTCCCGCCGTTCCCCGCGCACTCGTAATCCGATATCCTTGCAACATCTGTCGCAAGCAAGCAATGTCGCAGAAACGTATCTTGGGCACTCTAGTGGCTCCCAACATGAGCAGCATGAGCCCCACGAAGACCATTCCGGCTGCGTGGTTTGAGCGTCGCGGCACCCATGATTACCTAGAGAGTATTCGCCAGCCAAGCTGATATTCCATCCCCAACGCGTAGCTATGTTTGGACGGAGGCTGAAGCCTCATACCCAGTATGTTACAGCGCCCATGTAGTAACCCCCAAAGGTAGTTCCGACGCGTCTGGGTGCGGCTTGTTTTGCGCAATCGTTTCATCTCCGGCTTCACGATCAGGTTGCGTTTCAAGCTTCTACCCAAAAGCTCAAGACATCCTTATACAAAACGAAACTGCAACCCATACTGTTCTTTTGCTCTCGTATCCTCATCTGAATACCGAAACCACTTACAAACCACAGCCTATCATCATGAAGTCAGCTATTAGCCTGAGCTTGCTGGGAAGCGCGCTCGCACTATCGAACGAGAAACTCGGCTTTGTTGCGCAACAGCCTCTCATACAAGACGCATGCCCATCAAATCACCTGCTCGACAACGGCAAATGCCTACCGTTAGCATACGGCAACTCGCCAGCATCAGTAGCATTCCAGTCCAACACCACCGACCCCTCGCATCACACAAACTCCCTAGAAGACGCCCGCACGTTAGCTTCCCAAACAGAAAACTTCCCCTGGACATTCTGGCCAGAATGTTTCACCAACGAAAAAGTCGCAGAGCCCTACTGCGTCTTCAGCAAACAAGACTTCGCATCGGGGAGAGGCATCTTCATCGTCACCGCACGTACCTTCGCCTACGCCATGCTGCAACACGACGCATTCAAGCGCCCAGAAACGCTCGAGCGCATCAACCGTTACGAGAACCCACCATTCTACCAGCATGAATTTCCTGGAAAAGGAAGAGGCCTGGTCGCCAACAAGACCCTTCAGCGAGGCGACGAGATTTTCGCTTCTACGCCTATCCTCATCACAGACCCCGATCTATACGACCTACCCGAATCCGAGCGCCTTGCGCTGCTGCATCGCGGTATTGACACGCTTCCAAAGTCAACACAGTCTTTGTTCTGGGAGCTCATGGGCCACACGCCCGACGCCGACGCGATAGATGATCGCATCACGACTAATAACTTCGAAGTCGCCATCGATGGCATTGCGCAATCCGCGCTTTTCCCTGAAATCGCCATGCTGAACCACGACTGCCGACCAAATGCCGCGTATTTCTTCGATGAAAAGACGCTGACGCACTACGTCCACGCCATCCGACCCATCTACCCCGGCGAGGAAATCACAATAACATACATCAACAACGAGCTACCGCGCGCACGGCGCATGCGCGGGCTGGAAAAGAACTGGGGCTTCAAGTGTTCTTGCTCCACATGCACTGCCCATGCTTCTTTGGTGACAGAATCGGATTCGAGGCTGGAACAGATTGCGGCTATCCAGCAGGACGTTCTCAGTGACTGGACGGAATCTTCTGCCGCCACACCAGCAACGGCAGAGCTTCTCATCAGCTTGTACCAGCAAGAGCGTCTCGATGCTAGTCTCGCAACGGCGTATCAGCATGCCGCGGAGACATGTAGTAGTTTTGGGATGAAGTGGGAGGCGGTGCGGTATGCACGGTTGAGTGTAGAGATGAGCATGCTAGACAAAGGCTGGAACGACAAGGATACCGCGGTGATGCAGAAAATGGTTGCCGACCCGGCAATGACATGGAGTTGGAAGAAGAGGGTCGCAGCAAAGAGCGGATGTAGCTGTGGAAATTCTCATTGAAGTATAGTAGGAAGAAAAATAGTTGCATGATAAGATACAGTCTAATTAAAAATAGATGAAGACATGTACAGTATTCAATGTTCTACAGAGAAGAGGAAAAGATGCAAAGTGCGAAAAGACTAATTCTGCTCGATCAGCGCACCACGAACGCGGGTATTGTACACGTTATTGCACTTGGTGCTCGCGTCTGCCGCGGAGATCTCGCCCTTCTCTCCAGCGCAGTTACCGCTCGACTTCCTCTTACCCGCGTCGCAGAGCGCAACACCAGCAGCAGGAACGGAGCCCTTGAGGAGATTTGGCGACTCGATGATCGTAGCAGCCATACCGCCAACGAGATGGAAATCGATGTGGCAATGGAAGAACCACACACCGGGGTTATCAGCCTTGAAGCGGATGACTGCGTAGCCGAAAGCTGGTACGACAAAACCATCGCGCTTGAGGGGCACGCGGGGCAGCGAGCTCTCATCGCCGTTCCAGACTCCGAGACCCGTGGCGACGACTTGGAAGACGTGGCCGTGGAGATGCATGGGGTGGGGGTACATATGCGGGTTGTGCATGACGATCTGGACGATTTCGCCGGACTTGATGACCCAGGGGTTGATGCCGGGGCCGTAGGTGGCGGGATCCATGCTGCCGGTTGTCAAAGCGGTGTAAAGAGTAGGCACTTGAGGTGGAACCCATGGCTGGGCGTTGAGAGGAGTACGGGTACCGACGCCCTCGAAGTAGGTCTGGTTGGTGGTGAACTCGATGTGGTTGTCGACGGGGCCCATGAGTCTCTGGCCATCAAGCGGCTTCATGGTGAAGTCGTTGAGGATGGTTTGTGGGGGCGGCGTCCATTGGGGCTCGAGAAAGATGCCGTCGATTTCATCGGAGATGCTGTCGATGATGTCGTCGATCTCGCCGAAGATGTCGTCGTAAACTACTTCTCCAATTACCGTTCGTTCCTCTGCTGAGGGGGCGCCGTTGGTCAACATGTCTGTCATCATCTGCGCAATCCAGTTGGAGGATCCTTTGGGGTCTTTCTTTCCTTGCACAATTACACCGTAGCTCTGGCCGGCGCAAATGATGATGGTCTCGGCCTCCTGGGGCTGCGTTTGGACACCGTCAATCTCAACTACGCTCAGCGTGTAGTTTGCGATGTGGAAGCGAGCGCATGCGACAGCGGCGGTGTTGACAATACGAAGAAGGTACCTCTTGTTCTTAGCGATCTTGAGGTCAAAAGGCTTGGCCTGATCGTTGAAGAGGAAAGAGTCGGGCGAGTCGAAGTTGGCGTTGGTGTTGTCAGGGCTCATGTAAGCCTCGATCATCTCGGGCATGGGGCGGTGGTACCTATTCATTGTGAGTTTGCGCGTGTGGAAAAGGCTGAGTTCACTTACCAGTCCGACATTGAAAGGTACACCTGCTTATCGATGTTCAAGCTCGCCTCCCAAGCTCTGTCGTGCACAATCATCTTGCCACGCAGACCATCGGGATATTGACCTTTCTCGTGCGCATGGTACCAATGCGTGCCAGCAGGGTTCGCGATAAAGGTGTAGGTGAAAGAGCTTCCAGGCTGAATGGGGCACTGAGTAACTCCACTGGGGCCGTCGTAGTTTTGCGTTCCCTTTTGCCATATGCCGTGGAAATGGAGAGCGGTGGTTTGATCCGGAAGGCTGTTGTGAACCGTCACCTGAACAGTATCACCTTCATCGCATTCTATGGTAGGAATCGGCCATTCTCCATTGATGCCAATAACCTGTCTCTCGAAGCCATCAGGTGCAGCCTACAGTGCGTTAGCGTTGTCATTTGGTGTCAACAGGTAGGGTAGAGTACTCACAGTCACGTAGCCAACCTCGAAGTCATAAGTGACAGTCTTTGCGCAAGCTACTCCAGCGTACACCGCCAACAAGAGTGCCTGAGATAGACCCAACATGTTGCTCAACAAGTAACGAATGAAATATAAAGAGTGAATATCTGGCTGAAGAAGCAGCGCTCTCGAGAGTTTAAGTATGAATGTATGCTTTTCATGGAAATGACTGACGTTGTTGGCCCGTTCGACTATGCTCTAATCGCTCCGATCAGATATGAACGCGTATTCAATATTTCGAAGCTCTCAACCCTTGCACGATGGGCCAAGATCAACGGCTTTGAACAGACCGCCCTTCCAGAAGGGGTAGAATACGTCTGCGTGCCAGCACCCGATACGCGCAAAAGAACCATGTTGCACAGATGCAACAAGGGTCCGACCGTCTCCATGCGAGTAGCGGGCTGCAACGCGGGAATGGTTTGATCGTTTTGATCATTGTGGAGGTATAAAGCTTGACGATACCGAGGCCAGCTATTGGCTCACATGGGGTGTTCGCACGATCAAGAAAACCCACATGCACATGCAAGGAGCGACAGATGCCAATTGGAACCCCGTCCGAAACGCTGTCTCGCGTGCTGGGCTGGAAAAGAATGGAAGACACAAGTGGCGTGCATCTCAATGCTTCTATGATGGCTTGCCTAGACTAGGAACAGGTTAGCGTGGTGCGGTTGAGGCAAAAACGATGGTGATCACTCGGAAACTTTGGTATACCATGTACCGACAGTCGGACATGTGTGGGAGAGCCGATGTGGTACAGCATGTCCCATGCAGACGCCACGCGAAGGTAAAATTGCAGTGTTTAGTATGCGACGTGTGCTCTTGTTCGCTCTAGCAAGACAATATCTTTTTCACAGTCTGCTATTATGTGCGTAAGTGTGATCGAGACTGACGAATGCTCGGGCTGCTCGGTGTTGACATTGGAGATTCTGACAGGCACCAGGTGCCATTGTAAAGAGTGCATGCTGCGACGTCCAGCTTGTGCCGCTCATCCCGTGGTCGTGGTACCAGACGTCTTATATCCGGAACTAAAGCTGTGCAATCCTGCCAGCAATTGCTGCACTCCATGTACTGCCGTTAGAGCCTTGAAAACAACAGTAGGTGGAAAGCCAGGCATGCAGATTCATCTTGCGCATTCTCTAGCGTATGCCAATCTTGCGCCTGCAATTTATTAATTGGAGGGTAGTTGTTAAACAGTAATCCCCTTCAGGGGTCGCATCCCTTTCACCTTTTACCTTCCATTGATGCGACTGTTACTCGCATGCAGCGGAGGCAAGCATCGTGACATGTGACGTGATCGCGCGATGAACCGCCCATCCCGAAGTCGTCTCCAAATAGCTTGACCTTGTGCGGATGGAATTGATGATGCAGGCAGCACGTTGACTTCGACTCGCCGGAGGACGCTGTTCGCGCAGCATCGACGCTGAATCAGGACCGGCACTTTTCCGTGGCTTCTTTGTTGAGATGCTGGGACCTTCGATCCATTCGTGCGCGTAAGTGTCAATCGCGATCTTTCGGTGTCGCGCGACGGTGAGCGAGCGCTGCAAAAAAGAGCTGGGATGCGAGACCTATGTACGCACGGCCGCTCCAGATTGTCGGAGATGCGGATGCCGAAGCGCCGGGCGGCTTCTCGTGTTCCATCGCTGAGGCCGCGTCCACGGTCCATCGCAACACCCTCATCGAGCGCATCACGATTCGTCCGATACATTGTCCAGAGCTGGCTGTTCAATTTCAGTTTCGCGTGCGCCATGGTTTCTGAATTGCCCTTTACTTCCCTCGTGGTAGCTGACGGTGACGGCAAGCACGGCGCTGCTCCAGCATGAATTCCCACGCTTGTCCCTTCTGGATGCTACTGTGCATAAAAGGGTAGAGACGATGGGGCTCACAGTTCATCGCGCGTAAGAGGACGACTACTCAAGCGCATGTATCATGGCTGTGCAAAGCTTGTTGGTTGTGAACGAGCAAACGAGGAGGAACCGTCCATCGACCGAAGACCGAGTAACCGGAACGATGAGGTGCCAAGCCCTATAAAACACAAGGAACCAACTGGATACCGCTAAAAAATAATCCTTATCGATTCATAATTCGTCGGACTCCTTGGAGGCTTGACAACTCACCGTGTCTCTGCGGTGCGGTGGCCTAAAGTTCCTCCGCAGATTGCGTCAAAACGTCAGCATGGCGCTGGCGGTATGCCTCTGAGGTCCACAAAGCTGGGCAGAACAACAGTCGAATATACACCACTACTACTGCAGTCTCTGTCTTTCGCGCTGTAGCGACTGGCGCATTACTTGCTGTATGCTTGGCATACTCGGTGTTGTCTTTCGCAGCTATCGTGTCGCGCGAGCCCGTGTCCAAGATACTCGATTGGTCCACACCATCACATCACCTACGTAGATGATGTGGAGATGCGGATGAAGATGCGTATATACGCAAACACGTCCGGTGAAATAAGTTCATCACCAACATCTGCTCAGCCCACAGTACATGACGCACCCAATCATACCCACTTTCGGAAGTCTTGGCTACCGAAGCGATGCCACTAAACCTATCCTGGGGCAATCCGCGAAACAATGATGACTTAGAACGTGGCTTGCAAGAGAAGGCATCCTGCATGTGCTTGTCAGATTTCGCATCCTTGGCTATTCTAGGACTAGCAAACGGGTCGTTGAGATACGCGTAGCCCGCACTGCCTCAGGCTGGGGCTATACTTGCGCCATGTATGGATTCGGTGCATGGTGCGAAACACCATCTCACCTGTATCTCCGACTGTTGGCTATAAGGTAAGGGATCACCCGTCGTTTAACAGGTCATCATCACAAACCACCGCATCTACCTCCATCTTCTCCAGAGATCACTTATCTCGATCGCTTTCGGAGTATTCCACCCCTATCGCAACGACCCTCCAGCTTCCAAGAACCCTTGACGATGCCCGAACAAGTAGCTGTCCCTCAGTGGTGCGTCGAAGTTGGCCCTGAATGTCCCGTAGAGGGTACACTATACGGCTACTACCCCAGTATCGAAGCCAATGCTTTCTTCGCGGCGTTCTTCGGCCTCTGCCTGGTCATCAACCTGGGGCTGGGTATTCGATACAAGACGTGGACCTACATGGTAAGTTATTCCTCGACTCGGCAGGACGCATCTAACACCCGATAGATTGCTCTCTGTCTAGGCTGCTTGGGCGAGCTTGTCGGATACATCGGACGCATCCTCTTGTACAACAACCCTTACGACGAGACCGGCTTCCAGATGCAGATCTGCTGCTTGATTATCTCCCCCGCCTTCGTTTCGGCTGGAATATACGTCACGCTCAAGCACATCGTCATTAACTTCGGACAATCGTGGTCACGCTTGTCGCCAGTGTGGTACACGCGCATCTTCATTACCGGCGACATCTTCTCGCTCGTTCTCCAGGGTGCCGGTGGTGGCATTGCTGCTACAGCAGATAGCGGCTCGGATTTGCAGGATCTCGGAACAAATCTCATGGTGGCCGGTGTCGTCCTCCAGGTCGTTGTTCTGTCCATCTTCGGCGCCCTTCTCGTCGAGTACACCATCCGCACCTACCACCGCCGCGATCAACTCTCTTCTGGAGCAATGACGCTCTTCCGCAAGACATCGTTCCGATGCTTCATCTTCGCCATCATAGTCGGCTTCTTGGGTATCTACATTCGATGCATCTACCGTATTCCGGAACTCACCGATGGCTGGGGCAGCGAGCTCATGCGCGATGAGACGGACTTTATCATCTTGGAAGGTGCCATGATCGTCATGAGTGTGTTGGTGCTTACCGTATTCCATCCTGGGTACTGCTTCCCAGCGCTTGGTAACACGATTGGCAAGAACAGGGCGAGTCGGGGCAAGAGTATGGACACCACATCATCAGATAACGATATGGTATTGGGTCAGGTTTAGAAACCCTGAGTGTCTGGATTACGGGTTTGCCTTCAATGTGCCATGGCATAGCGCTTTCTTTTGTCAGTTGAGGACCTTAGACACGGAGACATAGAGTGACGGATATACCGGGGGATTTTATATGTCGAGCAAGGAGTCCAGGAGCTTCTGAGGCGTACTCGCCCGTTGCTAGTATCGCAATTCATCTTACATATCACCTCGTCGTGTATCCACATTTTTGAACACTTATTCTCGCGTACGAAGTTCGTTACGAAGTTCACTGCCTAGACCCCGCAGATGGACCCTGCCCATCCTGACCAGGAAGCATGCTCCCTAGTTGATGTTGAGGCACAGCTAAATAGTACCTAGACTTCATATGCAGCTGTCGCTGGCGACAGATTGGCGGGCGGCGCCGGAGGCCGAGATTTCGGCGGAGGGCGAACCGAGGTGGATCCAAGATGAGGCTATCTTGGTGTGGGTATGCGATTTGCGAATTCCATGGCCCTAGGAGGTCTGGCTCGTACCCTTTTCGTGAAGGTGTTTCGGCATGTGCACTCCGTTGGCGAATCGGCAAGACTGGCAGTACAGATCGTGGCTCGCATTCTCACACTTTTCCGTTTTTGAAGCCGTGGCTGGGGCAACTCGTTACGAGAATCACGTGTTGAAGTTTTCGGATTTTGCTCTCATCAGATATGATTCTCCAATGCAACGGCAGTTGAAAGAGGTAAAGTTTGTCGACATATAGTTAGCAAAGCCGTGCACATACCATATCAGTCGTTCTATATTCCGAGTGCTGACTGCGGACTCGAAAAAATGAGGCGGTTCGGCCTGAAACTCCGGACCTTACATAGCAAGCAAAAGAGGACGCACGAATGTCGCAGTGCTACAGGCACCCGTTCCCGTTGATGGTGTTGCGATCTTCGTGCAATACCACGACAACCAACGCATGTCGATTCCACCCAACTTGCCGATGCATGTAGCCAGTAGCATCCGTCGGACATTTTTTGCAACGCGATGTGGTCTAGGCTCCGGATTTGCCATCGTGGCACCTCAAAGCAATCCTGGAGTTCAGTCTGCCCAGTGACGTCAATCACGCATGTTGTATTTGAACCTCGTCCGCCAGCTCTTCCGAGGCGCATTGCGATTTTGCCTTTCTTCTCAATGTACGGTCGGCGACATGGAGAGCCCACCAGGCAGGACCGGTGGCGACGCTGCTCTACCGACCTGACTGCCGCGCCCGTTGGCGTATATGCATGGTATGCCTACTAAGGTCAAGAGAAGGTTGTTCGGGAGACGCTGTGGATGGCACGACGTCACACTTCGATGCGAGATATTTCTCGGCTGCAATGGACCAGCCTAGCAGTCAGCACGACACGCACCGCCACCTCCACTCCACCACACCTGTTACTACACGCCGTCCAATCATGACCAGTCTTCACCCACACCTCAGACGGTCGTTTGAGGCTCTCGAAGGGTTAGGGAGCCTGGAACCCCGTTGAATGCTAGCGAGCAAATACATCTGGACCCGAACCGCCGCACGTGTGCCGCCGAAGCTAGCCAATCTATCCGTCTGGAACGTAGCCTCGGTTTCCACCCTCATGCACTTTTCTCCTTCGCCTCTTTTTCATAGTAACAGATTCCGATGCCTTATTCTGGACCGATCTCTACAGCACGTGAGATGGTGCGCCATAGCGTCTCATTGGTCAGGAGAGCATTCCCGGACGAAGCTTGCTGTCGGCCTTTTGTACCGAGCTTTCGATCAAATTCGATCTTGGTCGCAAATGCGATCTGTTCTAATATTCCAAGGCGAGGAACCCGTGGCGTCCCCGACCGGTTTATCTGTGCAACAGGAAGTGGCGAACCGCTGCAGATGTGTACAGGTTGGCGAAGCGCAACTCCAGAGCGCGAGGCGAGCCCAACAACACGGCCTGCTGAACACGCTCACGCATCCGACGTTGCCTAGGCTCCACCGGCTCCACAAGCGACTTTGGCATTTCTGAGCACCGGGGATCTCGCCCACTACATCGACATTCACGGTATGGATCACTCGGAGCGATGGCAAAGCATTGCACCAGCCTCAGATGAGCCGGGGCAGCGACGCGCAGCCTCAGACCGGCGGAAGAAGCGACAGGCTGTTGCCGTGGCGTGCGTGCAGTGCCGAAATGGGAAGGCCAAGGTACGTAGGACCGAGTTACACGCAATAGCAATGCCCTGGACCATCCCAAGGTATTTCGCTCAGCTATCAGGCACTATGCCATGCTACAGCCCTGCGAGGCACTGAAGGATACTTCCAAGTACTCAAGGCCCATGCATCCCTGATTTGCGCTCTTCTATAGGTACTCACATCATGTGACACTACCTGTACGTAGGCCTTTTGCAGCTTTCATTGGCCCCGCGGACTGTGCTGATTGCTTATTCGCAGTGTGACGGCACCAGACCCCGATGCAATCGATGCAAGGAGAACGACCTATCATGTCAATACGACGTCGCCGAAGGTGTCTCGCGAGCCGAGCGGATGAAGATTATGAAGAGAGACAGCATGACTGGCGAGCTGGATGACCTGAAGCGCATTGTTACCTCGCTACGCTCCGGGACCGACGACCAGGCCGCCGCTGTCCTCGCTCGATTAAGGCTCGGTGAAGCACCTGAAGAGGTCGCAAAGACCCTCCCAATGACAGTATCCCCGGCGGTATCCGGCCAACCCCCCAGGTATGCATCACTCGACAGCTTCCTCTGGCTACAACAAGTTTATAACTCTGGTTCAGCTTACTGGCTCAGGAGTCCACGGACACCTCTGGAAGCGGTATGAGCCACGAATCGGCATTTGACACGAGTAAAAGCGCCTCACAGTTTCGAAAAGGCTCCAATATCTCCATGGCATCACCCACCAGCCAGAACAGAGGCTGGTCACCTTCAGCACCTTCATCAACGTTTGCGTCGGGTAAGGGAAAACAAGCAGCAACGGCAGATGGAGCGAACGAGCATCCCTTCCTAGTTCCGCTGTTTGATCGAGAGGACTATCTCCTAACAAGGGACGAGGCTGGGGAAGAGAGTGAAGAGGAAGATAGGCTTCAGGAAAGCCAGATTGACCCACGACTTTTGCAGCAAGGAACGAGCTTCGACGGAGTCGGGAACGCCGCACCATCATCGAAACCATCTCGGAGCCAACGGCCCTCACCACACAGACAAAACACGATACGCTCGGCATACCCTACGCATCTCACTGGTCGACAACCCATCGTGAACACCATCAGGATACACCCAAATCTCAACCTCCGCAACCTCTTCGGCAACATGCCATTCTCCAGTAGCATCCGAAGTAACCACTATCCGGGCGACATTCAAGAGACGCAAATCACCAACCTGTTCCTACCCACATGGTCCATGCTACCCATCAACACAATACCTGACCCCGGGTCATTAAAACGCGCATTCCCTGGTATCTACGAACAAGCAACAACACTCATGAACATGGGCATACCCGCCGACCAAATCATCGAAACCCACCCCAACATCGCCGCACTCTGGGACGAAGACGTATATAACAACTCCGGCATACTCACCAAATGGGCAGTCGGCATGGTGCACGGCGTATACATGAAGGGTACATCTCACCAGGCGCGGGGGGGGGGGGGGGGGGGGGGGGGGGGGGGGGGGGGGGGGGGGGGGGGGGGGGGGGGGGGGGGGG